CCAGGCCCAGCCTCCTCCTTCAGACCCAGGGTCCAGGCCCAGCCCACTTCCCTCAGATCCAGGAGCTCAGACCCCAGCCCTCCCAGCTCCTGAGTTCCTTCTGTCTTGGGGCCTGTGTTGAATTTAAGGAATGTGAAGGGATTTTATTCACTCAACCCCACAAAGCTCAGCCATTTTCCTTCTCTCTCCTGCATCCATTCCAAATCAACACACATCTAAAATATAAAAAAAACAAACTGCTGCACTGAATTGGCCTGGAGGCCTCTGGTCCTCTGCTTCCATGGGCAATCTGTAGGTGGGCTGGTTTGCAAAGACTGGCGATGGTGCTCATGTTAAATTGTTTTTTTGGTTTTGGTTTTTTGGTTGGTTTTGTTTTGGGTTTTTTTTTTTTATTGTTGTTGTTGTTTTTTGGTACCAGGGTTTGAACTCAAGGGCATTCCACCACTAAGCCACAACCCCATCCCATATTTGTATTTTATTTAGAGACAGGGTCTCACTGAGTTGCTTAGCCCCTTGCCATTGCTGAGGCTGGCTTTGAACTCGAGATCCTCTTGTCTCAGCCTCCCAAACTACTGGGATTACAAGCATGCGCCACTGAGCCCAGCTGAATATATATTTTTAAAGATATTTTTGTTTGTTTGGTCTGGGAATCTAACCCAGGGCCTTGTGCATGCAAGGCAAGCACTCTACCAACTGAGCTATATCCCCAACCCCTTAAATATATATGTTTATAGCTTTACTTTATTTAGTTGTTTTTGTAATGTGGTGCTGAGGATCGAACCCAGGGCCTCACACATGCTAGGCAAGTACTCTACTGCTGAGCCACCACCCCAGCTCCTTATTTTGATTTTTTTAAAAAATAATAACATCATTTTTTTTAACAGTATAATATAGTATAGTAGTCAAAAGCAGCAGCTTCCAAGACCTGGCTTCTTGGATTTAAATCCCAGCTATTTGTGTGTGTGTGTGTGTGTGTGTGTGTGTGTGTGTGTGTGTGCGCGCGCGCAATGCTGGGATGGAACCCAGGGTCTTGTGCGTACACCACGTGACTGCAGCCCACCCCAGCTGATCACTCTTCCTGCATTATTTCACTGTCCCTCTCCTTCAGCCTTTTTTATGTGTGTGTCGGGGGGAAGGGGTC